TTGAATCGTTATCTTAGAATCAAAATTATCTCAAATAAATTTTATAAAACTATGAGCGATGTTTATATATAGGACGATGCTATAGATTCTATTAATGCTCTTTTTTAAATAAATTATAATGTGTAATTATTTATCAATTACATAAACATTACATCATTAGTTATTTAATTAACCAAAAAATTACATCTTTATTAATAAAAATTTAATTATTAACCAAAAAAATTATATAATATAATTGAGGTAATTAAACTGTCGAGTCCCTCCTGTTCATTGACGGGCATGCTACATGTTTGGTCCAAACATGCTGATAGTATTGTATCGATTTTCAATTGGATTGATCAGTTCATCCTAAGAGCCCGTTTGGTAGAGATTAAAATTGGATTAAAATTGAAAAATTAGCAGTTATTGTTGACTTTTATTAGACGAGTGGGGCTCAATAACGACTATATTTTCAATTTTAATTGGATTTTAATTGTTATCAAACAGGCTCTAAATTTAATAACAATTCCTTATTATCTTTACGTAATTTTGAGGTCAAGTTGAGTTAACATGACGATTAAGATACATTAGCAAATATAAGAGGTCATTAAGTGGCCTAACTTATAGCGTGATGAACTCATCTTTCATTGGGTCATATATACTTGTGAGATCGAGCTCATTATAGAAGTATGTCATACACGAAAGAACGCCACCGAGATCAAAGTATATAGTTTTTGAACCGCTCGGCTTCCTATCTTCCTCCTTAAAGAGGAACATGACTCATTCTCGAAGTCGTAATTGAAAAAAAAGTAAAATAAACACGTACACATCCAATTATGCGAAGACACTACAAGACTTATGAGAAGACTTGAAATGTATTTTTGACATACAAATCCAAAAAGACTTCAACTAAGTCAACGATCAAAATAATCACTCAACACTACTTCACTAATGCATTTTTCACCTGGGCAGGGTTTGAATGATTTAAACATATCCATAATGTGAACATCTTTGCAGTCATTGTTGAAGATTAGACGTTGATGTGCACTCCCAGACGCGGATTCACATTTATACTTTCATTTTAGCCTATATTTTGCATGAAATTTCGTATTAGATGAATTCTAGACACCTGATGATCCAACAAATTCGACATATTTCAAATTATATAGAAACTATGGATCGACTTTGTCAACTCCACTCTGTAAGAATTACAAGATTACCCCAATTAACACATATGAAACCTGTTCACTTATTCAAGTTAAATTCAGGGACTAAAATGCAAAGAAATCCTCCTAAAGTGTACTGCCACGTTCTCAATCATTTTCCTCGTGCTATACAACCAAAGAAATAGACAAGTACACGTAGGTAGGGTTACGTGTCCCCCAAGATAAGCGTCTCAACGCCATTGGGTCGAATTGGACAGCCAAGCTTGGCTTTGTCTTGGCCTAAAAATTATTTAACAAATGACTTGTGAGAACGCGTCAATCTATGTGAACAAATGCCTACTTTATTTTCTATGTTCACACAACCTTTTATCACAAATCAAATTTCTGTCCCTGTCAACGCAACTTATTCCCACCCTCATATTGTGAAGAATAGATTGTACTCGCTTTTTAAATGACATAATTTTCATTACAACTACTGTACATGGAATATTTTACGAATGCTCAAAGTCTATATGGTTCTCGACCTATTCAAGATATTGTAACATTTAAGTCAATAAGAGCATGAAATGTATTGCCATAATGAAAATGTCACAACTTTTGTTAAGAATATTGGGCCTAACTCCACCTAATAAAACCGGTTTATTAGAGGAGGATTGTAATCACCTTATTAAGTGGATCATNAGGGGAGGATTGCCCTCACCTTATAAAGTGGATCATTTATATTTTTCCAAGCAATGTGGGATTCTAATACGCCCCCTCACGCACAGGGGGGACCATGCCAAACAACTGTGAACAAATCGATATTTGGTGGCACCCAACATTGCATAATTGGGCCTAGCTCTGATACCATGTTAGGAATATTGAACCTAACTCCACCTAATAAAACCGGCTTATTAGGAGAGGATTGTCCTCACCTTATTAAGTGGATAATTTATATTTTCCCAAACAATATAGGATTCTAATAACTTTACTTCAATGTTACTTCTCATATTCATACACCATGGACGTAAATGAGTTATCGCACTAACTCCATGAGTTATTCCAGATATCACCTTGTTTAGGGACGTGGTTTGGTAGTGATTCCGTATAGCATCTTGGTTTAGAGATACTTTCAAAACAATTCCAGAACAAGATTGTTTGAGATGAAATTGAACCAAACTAGAAAGGATATACTCTTTTTTTTTTTTTACTGCAGTCCTTCGGCACCTACCCATCACGGTTCATTTAACTCGAATAGAAAATACTATACGGCGAGTGAGATGATAATAACTAAAAATAGTGCCACCAGTAAAAAAAAAAAAACCAAGCAGCCCGGAATCTTGGAAATCTTTGCCATCTTAAGGCCCACCATATTTCGAAACACACACGTCCTGAATTGCTGTACCACACACTTCTTTAAAGCTGATATCAACCAAATAAAGCAGCAAAAACCAACCTCTTGAAAGAATTTGGGAGGGCATTGGAGAGAGGGAGCATTCAATTCATGTCTAATGTTAACAAGATGTTGATACCATGTTAGGAATATTGAACCTAATTCCACCTAATAAAATCGACTTATTAGGAGAGGATTGTCCTCACCTTATTAAGTGGATAATTTATATTTTCCCAAACAATATAGGATTCTAATAACTTTACTTCAATGTTACTTATCTTATTCATACACCATGGACGAAAATGAGTTATCGCACTAACTCCATGAGTTATTCCAGATATCACCTTGTTTAGGGACGTCGTTTGGTAGTGATTCCGTATAGCATCTTGGTTTAGAGATACTTTCAAAACAATTCCAGAACAAGATTGTTTGAGCTGAAATTGAACCAAACTAGAAAGGATATACTCTTTTTTTTACTGCAGTCCTTCAGCACGTACCCATCATGGTTCATTTAACTCGAATAGAAAATACTATACGGCGAGTGAGATGATAATAACTAAAAATAGTGCCACCAGTAAAAAAAAAAAAAAAACCAATCAGCCCGGAATCTTGGAAATCTTTGCCATCTTAAGGCCCACCATATTTCGAAACACACACGTCCTGAATTGCTGTACCACACACTTCTTTAAAGCTGTTATCAACCAATTAAAGCAGCAAAAACCAACCTCTTGAAAGAATTTGGGAGGGCATTGGAGAGAGGGAGCTTTCAATTCATGTCTAATGTTAACAAGATGAGCAAAAACAACTGCAGACAAAGATTTAGTGATGAACAGATTAAGTCACTGGAGATCATTTTTGAGACGGAGTCCAGGCCAGAGCTACGCATGAAACAGCACTTGGCTAACAAGCTAGGGCTGCAGCCTCGACAGGTCGCGATATGGTTCCAGAATAAAAGGGCTCGATCAAAGTCGAAGGAACTTGAACGGGATTATGACATGCTTAAAGCGGATTATGACAAGTTGGCTTCCCAGTTTGAATCCTTGAAGGAAGAAAACCAAGCCCTGCTTATCCAGGTATTATACTCGCATGTCATGTTTGGTAAGGTGCTTGAACAGTAGTTAAAAAAACAGAAATCTTATCCAATCTACTGTCCAGTACCAATTACCAAAACGTTTTATGAAAATTCTACAGTGTCTTGTACATTTCTACATAGCAGTTCACAAGATTCTATGATCACCAGTTGCAGAGACTTAAACTGGCTGAAGGTACGAGAGTCCAGCTATATGAAAACAAAAACATAAAGATGGAAACTTCAGAAAAGCCAAGGTTTGTACTAGAAAACAGCAGCCCTGATCTTGGCATGCCCTTGAGCAGTGATTTTACTAGAAAGGTTGACTATTTGTGGGAAGAAGCTGATGATCCGGACTTAGCACAAATGGCTGACTGTTACTTAATCTCGAAAGAATCCAGTAGCCTTATCGACAATTCCAGTTTTAGTGGACATGGTGGTCTGGCTTTTAAGTTCTGAACTCAAGATCAAGGATCATTTTAATTTTGTTTGTCAAAGGGTAGAATGTTGAGAGCAAGCTCATGTATGACTCGGATATTCTTGCCAATATCCATTGGTCAGTGAAACTCCTGGAATGTGGTATGCAGGAACGTCCAGTAGTATACACAAGATTCTAGCTTCTTTTTATTTATTGATACTATTTAATGACATCCAATCCAACTTACCAATCTTGCCACCAATTTCTTACCGTAAGATTTGATCATGAGGGCATAATGATCGAGTACCAAAATAGACACGGAACAGAAATAGAAAGATGCATATCACAGCTTCTTATACGCACATTTGAGAATTAGTCAACACAAAAATGCTTGAAGTTATTGCATACGGAGGGTACTCACAGTTGCATCATTGCATAATTCACATTTTCTTCCTGCTCATCATTTATCAAACATCCAACGTGGAATTTTAGCATTTCAATTCATGAAACTGTCAAGAGTATGCCTTCTCCATCAAAGTAGCACGTCCAGGGAAATTGTTCGCTTGACAATCTAACAAAATGCCGAGCATCACAAGCAAAACATTGGTGTAAGCAAGTATGAACGTAAGTTGGAGACGAGGAATCCAGTAAATTCTAATTTACAGACTGCATATGAATGAAAGGGTTTCCTAAAATAACTTTTACCCCATGTACATACAGTATATTTAAATCATTTTGCAATTCCTCATGACTTCAATCAAATTGCCAAGCCATCTCTCCCAGAGCTATTGTAACTTGTGCGCCACCCTCACGATCTTCCTAGTATATTCCAAAATAAATAACTAGATTACATGAACCATATATTACTAATTCTCATTGATTTGTAGTCTTTAAACTTTCAAAAAGTAAAACGAGCTAGCAAAGAAAAGTTCACCAAACTTAAAGTCTTAAGTCAGTCTAACAATTCATCGGATAGATGAGATGGGAAACTGCCGACAGAAACCTAATACCCAATTTTTGGCAAACATGAGATCAGCGTCATAGACCTGACAAGCATATTGTTTTACGTCATAGAATATTGTTTTTCCAGTTTCTTCTACATTCCCTGCATAGTTGACCACAAATTCTAACAGCTAAATAGCTATAAGGATATTATTTATCTTTCATGGTGTAAAAAATTCTGGCATTTTCAATAGTTTTTTTCCATGTCATTACAGTACTACGTGGAGAATAATTGGTGGGGGTGGGGGGGGGGGGGGCGTGAGTTGAGTTCAATAAGCACATAATGTGAGATATTTTATTCACAAGCCTCAGTGTTACGAACATTAGACAACAAATTACTTGAATTAACCTGGTTCACCGAAACCATGGATCTCAAATCTCAGTCCTCACATCTCCAATTGGTAACATGATTTTTGGGCTTGAGCGAAACATAGTTTAGACATAAATGTCAAAACTAACATGCACACCCTGCTGCACTGAAACACCTAGAGGAAAAATTTAAACAAGAAATCATTGTGAAGAAAGGACCGTGCACACCATTGAGTATTTTTCGAAACTAGACAACCTAAAAGACCTAACAAAGTTGTTTACCATATTGATCGACATAGTTGAAGTAAATGGTCTCATATCCATATACAATTTGATACCGAATTCTTCCATTGTAAGTGAGAAATATCCCAAGAGTCAATTACAAAAGTAGTCTGCTATCTAGTCTTGCCATCTACATAATTTACACACCTTTACACTCATGATGTATCAACCTTAGCTTGTATTACAGTTACTCCATTCAAATATCTCGGGACTATTTTTTAATCAAAGAAACGTCTATATTACAGTTAACCATGAGCTCCATCTTCGCAGATAGTACACAAGCATTTTGCATGTAACAGCTACCAAATACAAACTTTAAAGAAGTATCGACGCTAAGTTCTCATTGTAGATGTTGGAAGCTGTTTTTATCTTTAACAACCAGATATGCCATGTGATTTCAGATTGAAGTTATAGTTGACACTTTATAATAGATCAAGTCATGATTCAGTAGCAGAACATTCATCTGACTTTTTAATATGATTTTAGATCAGGTAGAGAATTATCACTTGAAAAGTTACAATATGGGCAAACAGAACAAGACTCACTTTATATTTCTATGTTTTTTGGTAAGGAGTACCTCTGTCTCTGAAGTGTATTAGAATTTTACAATTTAATCCTTCTTTTCGGAAAACTAAATTCTTTATTACTGGTGTATGAGGCCTCCTCATCACCTTTTTCTCTATTATCTAGAAAATATTTGTGTAGGACTCTGGTCCATAGTGGATCCCAAAAAATGATTTCATTTCGTCATCTGTTTCCTCTTCCTCCAAATACTAAATCTGGGCAAAACCATGAAACCCTGTAAACTTTGTGATAGAACCAATTTAGATAGTGGGAAGTAAAAAGGAAAATCAAGACTGAATTGTATTAATTGAATGGATTACAACTGAAAATGGAAATCATAAGAGGTCATTCGAGAGGGCCATACTCTCCTACAGCTATTCAGCTTTCAGTAATTTCTTCATACCAGACTATTGGCTATTACTCTATTTATAACCCCCCTCTCGTAACTAAATCCCCCCTGCTTAACAGAATTTGTTACCCTCCTCTGCCCTTTGGACCCTTCTAGAATAGGTGTATTTGATCGGGGGCCTATCACTTTGTTGGGCCAATATCTCAGAGATTATATTAGCAAATGAAGAAAGAAAAGGTCCCAAGATGAAATACATAAAGGCAACTCTTTTTTTATTTTCCATTTCCTGTTAAATCTAAACACTTAATCAGCATGTATAACTAACTTTGCACTCAAGTGATAATGTGTCTCGAATTTTAAGATAGAAACACCACTTGTTAGACTTTCAGGTCCACATTCCTAATATTGCTCTATAGACCAACTTTCAGCAAACTATAAACTATCAGGCCATTTATGATCCACATTTCTAATGCTGCAGCAAGGACAACCTTTTGGCAATCTAAGCCATCTAAATATTTATTTTTCATTTTCTTCATCTGCATGTATATCAACCCTTTTCAAAGAAAATTTAGTCTCATACGCTAAATTACATACCTATGAACCGTGATGCAATAATCAAACTGAAATTTATATCGCGCTCCTTGGAGGTCAACTCCCAGAACCAAGAATTCTTAACATTTTATGTGCTCATCGCATAGATTTTGGGATCTCAAACATATTGTCCCAAAACTATCTATGATAACAAAAGTACGTGTTTCTAGAATGGTGTACGCCGTTGTAAACTAAGGAAGGTAGAATTTCTGTAATTTAGTGCTCGTTTGGTGAAGATTAAAATCCAATTGAAATTGAAAATATAATTGCTATTGGAACCCACTCGTCTAATAAAAGTCAACAATCACGGTTAATTTTTCAATTTTAATCCGATTTTAATCTCTATCGAAAACACCCTTAATATAAGAAGAGCTTATCCAATCAGAACTTTCACTATTTCTCATGATTGAAAGAGTAACTGAGAAGATAAATTTAACTTACTGCTTCAGAAGCACCACATATCTCCCTATAAGCTCCAACTTCATTAGGAAAAGCCTGTTCAAGCTCCTCGAGCAGCTGTCATCACAAATTCTGCGTCACACGATAAAAGGATTATTCTATTTTTTTCTTATTTATATGCAAGACATTCCAATCCCCTATGTTGTGTAAATATGACACAAGGGGAAAAGATATACTTTTGTTGAAAACACAAATAGCTTTTTTGCAGACCTTGCAAATTACTAGAGTAAATACAGAACCCAGCGAGGGATCGAGGCATTTGAGATGACATCCTTTGCTATTGTTACTCAGTTCTGAGAAGTATTCAAAATAAGCCAACAATTGATATGTAAATTAAGAATAGATAAAAGGTTGGTAGAGGCATTGTTTTAAGATATTGACACTTATGTTCTGATTTTTTTCAATCTTTGCTTTGAAAATTTTGTTAAAGCATTTATCCAATCTTCCTTTTACTTCTTGAAAACTAAAATCCGAGTTTTTTTACCTCGTGCAAAAAGGTTATTCACTGCATGTTTATTTCTATTCACAATTTCCATCTTTTCCCCAAACCCTTGCCCTTTTGCAGTCGGATGTTTAAAAATAATAATAATAATAAAAATAAATCCTCTCAGAAACACGAAGATTTGCAAGAGTATGTGATTGCACACTGCTTGATTTGTTCAGTGTTATGTCAAAAGACACATCATCTAACGAAGATACTCAGGAAGCAATTAAAAGACGCGAACTTTGCATATAATTGAACATCATAATGCACTACTCAGGAATCTATGATAGAACTAGTTCGACAAGAAAAATCAAACCTCATCATATAACTAGAAAGTGAGATGGATTTTTAACTAAAAAATAACCTTGAATAAGTCCCTTTTTCCTTTTGTGATCTAGTATTTAGCAATACAACTATTTAACACATCCCTTGTAAATTCATCCAGATTCTTTCCTAACAGCGAGGCAGGTATGGGATGGGGCTGCTATTCTCACTCTCGTCTGTTGGATATTTTTGTCACATTGTCCCGCCCCCATACCCAATTAAAACGGAACGGGTAGGGATGGGGGCAAGGCAAATCCCCTGCCACATTTATCGTCCCGTTTATTTATTTTATTTTATTTTTTTATGTTTCTACTTTGTAAATATTATTACTTTTTTCCAATTTATTAAATCTTCTATTTTTATTTGATAAAAAATTTAAATTTAAAATTAACTTTAAATTGATGGGTAGCGGGGCAATCCCCACCCCGTTTACCCGGTTAGACGAGTAATTCTTGCCTCATTTGGGACGGGCCCGCAGGTATTGGGTTGAAGGATTTTTTATTGAAACTTTATGAAATTTTAAACTTCTAGAAATTGAAAACCTAATTACTTAATTGTCAAGATTTTTCATGTCAAATCACCAAGAAAGTTAATAATGCAGAACATACCTTAATTCTTTGAGAATTATTCTTTATTACTGGATCTTAATTTCGGATATTGAATCTTGAATTACAATC